TTAGTAGAGACGGGGTTTCACCATGTTGACCAGGATGGTCTCGATCTCTTGACCTTGTGATCCACCCGCCTCGGCCTCCCAAAGTGCTGGGATTACAGGCTTGAGCCACCGCGCCCGGCTAGCCCAGCTAATTTTTGTATTTTTAGTAGAGATGAGGTTTCACCATGTTGGCCAGGCTGGTCTCGAACTCCTGATCTCAGCTGATCCACCTGCCTCAGCCTCTCAAAGTGCTGAGATTACAGGCATGGGCCACCACGCCTGGCCCTTTTTCTCCTTTTCATTAAGGATCAGAGTTAGACCTGCAGGCTCCATTTCTAGTTGTGTCTCTGACTTAGGCACCTTCCCTTTGTTTTTTAATTTAACCCCTTGTTAAAACAAAGATAGTAATACTTATCTTTCTGGGTAATTATAAGAATTCCTGAGCCGGGCAAGGTGGCTTACACCTGTAATTCTAGCAATTTGGGAGGCTGAGACGGGCATATCACCTGAGGTCAGGAGTTCAAGACCAGCCTGGCCAACAAGGCGAAACCCCATCTCTACTAAAAATACAAAAATTAGCTGGGCGTGTTGGCTCATGCCTGTAGTCCCAGCTACTCAGGAGGCTGGGAGAATCACTTGAACCTGGGAGGCTACTGTACTCCAGCCAGGGAGACAGAGCAAGACACTGTGTCAAACAAACAAAACAAAATTCCTGGAAAATTCTACTAATGCACCTGGTAGTAGGAACATGTTGGGGAAATATAATTAAAAATAAAATCGCCTACCAACTCCAGAGAAATAATTCTCTCCATAAATGCAGAAAAGAAACCATTGTTATTCTTGAATAAGCATTAAATTATGATGCACGTCACGAGCAAGGTGCTGAAGAGATTGCAAAGACAAATCTCACCCTTTTAGATGGCAGGGCAGATACTATCCATGACATACATGTTAATTATTTGTATACAAAAGAAAAATAAAACTTCTGTCCTGACAACAAACAGAAGTTACTACTTGGAGCCAAGTACTTAGGCTAAACTCCCACAGAGATAGGGAGGCAAGGTACCAACCTCCTTAGCGCTCATGTTTTAAAGAGATGTCTCCAAGGCCTCCAAAAAAGAGACCGTTCTGGGGTATAAAATGGCTAGAGATTTATTCAGCTTTTTAAAAGATTTACATACATCTCAAGGACACAGTAAAAGAATTTATAGTGCTTCTCTAAAGAAAATGTTTTTGTTGTTCTTTATTTTTTTGAGACAGAGTCTTACTCCGTTGCCCAGGCTGAAGTGCAATGGTGCAATCTCGGCTGACTGCAACCTCCACCTACTGGGTTCAAGTGATTCTCCTCCCTCAGCCTCATGAGTAACTGGGATTACAGGCATGAGCCATCACACCAGCTAATTTTTTTGTATTTTTAGGAGAGACGGGGTTTCACCATGTTGGGCAGGCTAGTCTCAAACTCCCCGCCTCAAGAGATCCTCCTGCTTTGGCCTCCCAAAGTGTTGGGATTACAGGGGTTAAGCCACTGCTCCCACCCTAAAGGAAATGTTTTTTTTTTTAATTTTATATATATATATATGAAAAGAATTATAAAGTCATAAAGCTAGATAATCCCTTAGAAATCCATAGCCCAATTCTATTTATTTATTATATATATATATATTTTAAGACGGGGTTTCACCATGTTGGTCAGGCTGATCATGAGCTCCCGACCTCAGGTGATCCGCCCACCTTGGCCTCCAAAGTGCTTGGATTACAGGCATGAGCCACTGCACCCAGCCAGGAAACGTTTTAAGAAAAAAAAGTGGGTAAGTTCTCTGTTCCTTTTGGCATCAGGGAAAATTAAATTTAAAAATTTTTTTTAGATATGTGTATATCTAAATATGTAAATATCTAAACATGGCTTAGCACTATGAAATAGGTTCTGTGTTTTATCTACAAGTCTCTTTTATGTGGTACTTCCCAAATTTTTTGTTTTCCTTTTTGTGGAGAACGGGGTCTAGCTATATTGCCCAGGCAGGTCTCGAACTCCTCGGCTTAAGCTATCCTCCTGCCTCTGCCTCCCTAAGAGCTGGGATTACAGGCGTGAGCCACAGCGCCCGGCTCCAGATCTTTATAACATAAAATTTAGGCTAGAGTCTACCCACGACTGGACTTCTCAAAAGAAGTTATAGTCTGGGCACGGTGGATCACGCCAGTAATCTCAGCACTTTGGCCATGCCAGGCAGATCACTTGAGGTCAGGAGTTTGAAACCAGCCTGGCCAACATGGTGAAACCCCATCTGTACTAAAAATACAAAAATTAGACAGGCATGGTAGCTGGCACCTGTAATCCCAGCTACTGGGGAGGCTGAGGCAGGAGAATCACTTGAACCCAGGAGGTGGAGGTTGCAGTGAGCCGAGATTGTGCCACTGAACTTTAGCCTGGGCGACAGAACAAGACTCCATCTTAAATAAATAAATGAAAGGAAGAAAAGGAAGGGCCGGGCGCGGTGGCTCAAGCCTGTAATCCCAGCACTTTGGGAGGCCGAGGCGGGTGGATCACGAGGTCAAGAGATCGAGACCATCCTGGTCAACATGGTGAAACCCCGTCTCTACT